TACACTGAATTGCCTTTTATGATAATGATTAAAAGAAGTGTTTACCTCAATGTGGAATTAGTTATTTGTTGGTATAAATAAAGAGGTGACTAAACCTACAGTGAATGTGCCTCTGTCAGGTTTCTTCAAAGGAAAATTCTGGCAGAGCCTGGTTTCATTAGGCCCTTGTGGTCTATTTGGGGTTTTAGATGTCTGTTTATAACATTAATATTGCTATGGAGTAGATCTAATTAGATATTCTCAATGTTTGATCATCAAACTTTGAGCTTTTCATGCAAATGAATATTTAACAATTGAGAGTTACTTTTCTTCATAAGATTTAGTTTCTTGAAATGTGTATCACAAACTAGAGCATCATCCCAACACCGTCTACTGATTTTTCATTATAGAAATGTTCCTAAGCTTAGCACTTGCTCAAGTTATGGGCTTAGCCTCAGCTCCAGCCAGTGGTAAAACTCAGTATTAAATAAATAGATTCAAATCAGAGTGGCAGATTTTGTGTGAATTGACTCTTTTCAATGTGTATATTTATTTCATCTAAATATATCTGAAGAACTTGAGAAAATAATGTTATTATACTCTTTTGTTCTCTATGCGGCATCATCAGCATTATCCCCAATGAAGTCAATTAAGTCATCAGTTACTTTATATTTATCAGTGTTGTATATTCTTAATGGTGCATTAAAGGATTAAATAATTTCTAATCTTCTCTACTTTCTCATAAATGGTCATTTTTTATAAATTTATTTATTTTTGTAACAGTGATAGATGCTGTTTCAGAAAATGCAGAATGACATATTAGCATTTTTCGTAATATCTGGCTTATTTGTATTTTTTATAATATGCAGACTTTTACTTTATGCCACATAGAGTAATTTGGACTAATTTTTCTTTTGCCTACATTGCATATATATTAGAAGAGATTATGTAACATTAAAATGGTGGATTTCCATAAATTGGAAAACTGTCCATCAGCTGCAGGTGTTTAGCCTAGAGAAAAGTTGCTTTGTGTGATAATTAGAGAGACTTTAGGACTTTTCCGAGGGTTTTTGGCTGAAAGAGAGAAAGAGCGTTAGTTTAGGAGTGAGGATGGGTTGTAAGTTAGAAAATAGGAATTTTTTGGTCAATATTGTCCTTATTAGAATCTAATGAGGCAGTTGACAGGATAGACATAAGATGATAAGTGTAATCCTTGACCCAGTGAAGTGTATTGTTTTGAGGTGTGAATTGTTTGCTTTGGACAGTGAGTAATAGAGGTTGTTTAATGAATCCTAGAAGTTGAAAGAAGCAGCCGTGTTGCCTTTTGACTGTCTACAAGGTAGTCTCCTTGTCAGTTTTTCTGCTTGCATTTGAAAATAATGAAAATACTGAGCATACTTTGAATGCTGTGGAAGACAAATATGAAGTAGTACCAGGAAGGAATTCTGCTAACCTTGTCTGATCACTACTGAAGTCTGCAAAGACAAGTATTGATAAGTTGCAGAGGTAATTTTATCCAGGTCTCTGTTTTTCAATGTTGTTTCTAAGGAAATTGCCACATTATGTTGGCATGGCACTGCAAGTTTCAGGGCATAATTTCATGATCTAACTGGCTTGATCCCATGACGCATTGCTTCTCAAAAGGTGGACCCAGTTCTTCTCATATATATTCTAGTGTTCTTCAATTTTTATCATGCCTTTCTAATTTTATTTTTTTTAATATGATTTAGTTCTTTTTGGAAGGGCCAATCTTCTCTTATTTAAGCTCTCCAAGCAGTCTCACTGTAGAGTCTAGCAGAAGCAAGACAAATACAAGACAGTAGCAGGAGTGTGCGGCAGGGATTTAGCAGGAGGAAGGCCATACCCTGAGGTAGCCCTTAGCTCATCTTTTCAGCATCATCTAACTACATCCTGAGATTGCATCAGTGGGAGGATAGTTAAAGGATGTGAATATAAACCCTATCTCTTTTAATGGTATTTCATAATTTCTCATACCTACAGTTTTATATGCTCCAGTTTATAGAAAATGAGCTGAAAATAAAGAAGGTTTTAATGACTGGGTAGGAAATGAAAATAAGGAGCCTGTTGTATTATGGAAATTATAGATTGATATATTGGAGATAAATAATGGTAAAGAGAAGAATGAAATCCCAGAGGAACACTACTTGAGATTAGTTTGATCACTTTGATAGTGTTGAGTTGCCATGATGTCAATCAAGATGATGACAGGTACCAATGACAAAGTGGCAATGATAACTAAATAGCACAGCTCACCTACTGTGTTTAATTGTGAATTCTTTGAAATGAGTTCTATACTGTTGCTATTTGTGTTATTTTTTGCTCTTCATGAATCAATCGAATGTTGAACTTCAGATTAAAAAGAACATAATCTACACAATCCTGCATGCTATTTACCTGTCTCTCTGGCAAAAGACTCCATATCCCTTGTAACGGGGAGGGGGGGTACCGTATCAGGGAAAAACAGGTTCGAGGGATTCTGGAACGTGAAAAAACTAAACACCGTTGCTAGTTGGCAAAGTAACTATTTATTATGAAAGGTGACAAACAGGGAAAAAAGGTGAAAAAACAGGCACCTGAGGGGAAAAGGATTAGGGCTGAGGAAAAAGTGCACAAAAGACCCTAGAAAGAAGGCTCGACCCCCATACTCACCCAGGTGTCACCTATAAGCAAGTCTTACCCATCCTAACCAGTAATGAAGCAGCAGCTGCGTGTTCCGAAGGGGTGACAGGCTCCCACTTTAGCAGGCGTCCCCACTAAAAGCAACTTGGTCCATCGTGAAGAGCCGGCCCCAACCATGGAAAACGTGTCAGCTTTTATACAGTACATTGAGAACACCTGCCCCGGGGAGGTGTGACCAGTACCGCCCTGTCAGGGGCTCTCAATCCCACCCCCTTGGTTATGTAAGTGCCCCTCTCCTGCGCACACGTGAGCACTTTGGAAATCCCCTAACGCAGGCGCAGTAAGTTGAAGGGGGTCTTTCCCAATTGAGGCTGGGGGAGAGCCTTCATCATGTATTCCTCACTTTCTCCTCCAAATGCCCTTGACGAGCCATTGACCAATCACAATAGACCAATTAAAACAGTTTACACAGAAGTTCTCCCTCCAAGGCCAAGTTCACTGCTTTATCAGAGAACTTGGCAGGAAGAACTATAAACTTCTGCAGGTAGCTAGGGCCAAACACAGACCAAAAAAAACCATCCCAACTTTGCCCCAATACAATCCCTCTTCCCTTAATACCTCCTTAATGTGCTTTTTTCCATTGTATTCTTCATTGCTTTCTCTGAACACAGCATTTATCCTGTTCTTGATCTGCAAAATGCTCTTCCCTTTCTTGTTTAAATTCCTTCTGCACAGTTATTTCATCTGTTGTAAAATATTTAAGTTATCCAGATATCTAAGTGATATGTATGTGATAGGCAGGGTGGTGTATTGACAGAGCAATTGAAAACTACATGTGTATATGTGTCATATATATGTGTCATGTATATGTGTCATCAATCCTTCTGCTTTTATGATGGTTTATTCTCCTGTCTGAGCATGACACATGAAGTTACTTGAGGCAAGGCTTATCTTCTTCTGATGCCAGAAGTCTTGTTTAAATCCAAACAAAAAAATACATAAGGTAATTATAAGGAGAAATCCGGATAATCCAGTAGGATTAAGCTGATAATTGTCTTTCAACAGTGACTAGTGGCCTGAGACTTCAACGGGTGCCAGCCTGAAGTACTATGAATAATTGGAAGGTGATGAGTAAACCATCTTTTGGTAGCTGATTTCTTAAGATGCTCAGAGTCGTTATGCAATGTTCTGTATAGGGCTAATGAGTTTTTGGCAAAAGAAGAATAATCAGAAGAAACAAGACAGTAGCCACCCATAATTGAGGTCATATAACTGCAAAAATTGAAAACCTCAGGGAGAAGATGAATTCAGGGTTGGTGGGTTTCCATATCATCTTGCTTTGAAAAAAACAAAAACCACATCTTCTGGGGCCTCGTACAATAGGGAATTGCCTCCATGACTACAGGAATGTAGAGGCTCCAATGCTTCCTTAAGTGAGCTTTGTGGATCTAAAGACTAATTTTGCTTTTACTGAAAGAAATTGCAACAATAATATTAATTTTTTTTCAACTGTATTATGCCTTTTTGGTAGTTTAACCTCACCATTCCTTGTCATACATGGGGAGTCTGTTAAAGTTTCAGAGTATTAGTTTGTTCTTGAGGAGGTTAATGGATATCAGCTTTGTTCAGTTTTTGTGAGATTTTATTTGGATAAACTGAACCAACTGGATTTTTTTCCAAGGCCTGGAATGCAATTCATGTGTGGTGAAATTTTGACTGCTAGAAGTGAAATCAACCAAAAAGATTTTACACTAGAATGACCTGTTGCGAAGTTTTGTCTCTTGGAGCACAAAATATTTTTAAACTTATAAATGAGAGTCATTCTAACCTAAAACTAGCCCAGGCCATGTAGTCAAGAATATGCCTCAGGAACAATCCTGCTCTAACAGGAAATGGCCAGAATGATCTAAAAATTATTTCACATCTCAAACTTTGTAGCTTTTCGAGGGCTCTAATTAGGTGTGTCATGCAATAGAAAGGAGGCAATCAATATAGATCTGGATATACTGCAAGTGGAGCAATTAAGGAAAATCATATCTTTTTCTTTGAAATATTTAATAAAATAATGGACATATACTTTATAACCAAATTTTACGATGTGATACTTCTTAACAAAGCTTCGGTTTAGTGCTGTGATAGAAAGGAAACAGACTGATTCACAGCAAACTGAGATCATTTCTTGGATTGCATCTGAGTGTGAAAATATAAAATTGACATTATGGAAGCTATGAAATGTTTCTACAGTGGAATGAATCACTGGCATTGACAGGAAGAAATTGGATAAGTATGTGATGAGAAACAAGTTCTAGTATGAGAAATACTGTTTTTATGATAATTTTTTTTATTTAATTTCTCCTTCCCCTCCCCTCTTTCCCTTTCAGGGTAAATGGAAAGCTGGTGGCATTGAAGGTGATTAGATTACAAGAAGAGGAAGGAACCCCATTTACCGCTATCAGGGAAGGTATGCACTCACTTTTAGTGATTATGTATGGGTATTTTTGTAATTGCATTGCACTTCTTATTTCTGTGCCATGCTGTAGTGAATAGCTTGAGAATTCAAATTATATGGTTACGTTCTCAGTAGGAAGAAACTTTGGTGCTTCAAAAACAAAGCCTCTAATGTGAGAGTTCTTGTTAAAGAAGGCAGCTCTGCCTCTGCTTTGGCTCCTCTTAGATTTACTATACAAACAAGTACTTAAGAGGACTTTTAATGTGGGTATGAGAAGTCACCCTGGAAGATGAGAGAGCTGTGTAAGACAAGTTTCTTGCCTGCAGGCAGCACCTAAGATGAAGGTAGATGTAATTTTTCATATGTACGCAGCATGAAGCAAAGACAAGCATTTCTTGATAAAGGCAATCAAAAGATCAGTGAGCAAAACTTCAGGCATCTTGGAAGCTGTGTGTAGTTTGAGACTGGCTTTTGTTTGTTTTTCCTTCCCAGTGGACTCTAACTTGCATGCCTTGGGAATGATTCCTATCTAGCACGCTTGGAGACGCCTGTTAAGCTTTCTGTTCTGCTCCTTTATCCTTCCTTATCAGCCTCTCGTGGGCCCTAGTGATGGCTGCATTATCTGAGTCTGTCTGTATCGAGCTCCTTTGCAGAAATTGCTGGATATGCTTTCTCTGCGTGGGCCTTCTCTGTTAGAAAGTACTAAAAATGAGCCTTGGTAGAGAAATAATAAACTCTTTACCATCACACCGCTGATTCAGACTCATCTGCAATTGGTAGTGAACTAAAGAGATGAAACTGTTATGGTTTTGAGGGACCTTTTAAAATTGCACTGTCTTGGCATAATTCCCAAGGTAGTATGAACCAGGGAGGTACTAGAACATCAGCCCTCACAAGGTCCACAGCTGGCTCTGCATGTGAGGTGTGTGGCTTCATATGGTGTATGTCTGAATGTACAATGAGCCCATTCTGGAAGGGACTGGCCAAAAAAAAATCCACATTTCATGTGATTGACACCCTGAAGTTAGAAGCCTTTAAAGTACTGTGGATTTCCATCCCAAGGTTGTGCATTTTAAATGGCACTCTTCCACAAGGAAGGGAAAACCGTAGGTGACCAATTTATGAGGGAATTTCTTCAGTTCTTCTGTACTGCTTTGTTTGAGTAACAATTATTGAATGATCTGACACTTTTATTCAGAATGATATCCATTTTATCTGTGAGCTGTCTGTCCCTGCAGCTGTGCCGAGATAATGAGGTGTGCAGAGGGTTACGGGTGCAGCTTTCAATATTTGTAGTGCCGAGTTCAAGTCGTAACAGCCTGTGTTTCAAATATGTTTATTGTTCTTCAGGTTTATAGTTGATATGGTACTGACTTAATAACAAAATAGTAGATAGAGCTTTCTAGTGCCTTTTTAGTGACACTTAAAAGGTTTTTTAATCTGAGCTTGGTCTAGATGAAAGTTTATAGCACTATAACTGTCAAATACAGTATAATTTGTTTTCCTTCATAAATAGTTTGTTGTGTGAGCTCAGTATAAATAAGTATTCTTTAGGAGCAAGAACAAAGATTTTTTTTCTACTTGATTTCTTTTTTAAATTGCAAAGTTACACTTCCATGAAAATACTTCTCTCACTGTCATTGGAAAAGTTTCCTTTTGGCTGTGACTATAATACTGTGGTTGAAGCCAGTTAAAATTCTGGTGCTTTAATATTAGTAGAACAAAGCTCTTGTCTAGAAAAGCTCTTGAAGTTAATGATTAATACATATTTAAATGTGCATTGTCTCACTGATTTTGATGGGACTACGTGCATCCATTATATTTTTAAGTACTCATCTAGGCTGAGACTAGATCCAGAGTATTAGGCTAATGAGAGAGGTTTTTCTTGTGTCTTGTAGACCTTCGGTTAGATGGGATCAAACTTGCGTTATAGGTTATTTGTTTGTGGGTTGTTTTTTTTTTTGGTAAATGTAATCCTCTCTCCTAGATAGCAGAATTTCATTCAGATCTGTAAGGGCCACCTGTAGAAATACAGTCTTGTATGTTTTATATTATGTAGAAGTCACTCATACATGATGTGTTAGATGGGAAGGGAAAAATCTTTGTTTGGTTAGGGTTTGACTTTTCTGTTGTTGGTTTTGATTTTGTTAGAAACAAATATTAGGACCAGAAAAGTAAGGAAGGCTGTATTACAAATGTAATTTTCATAAGGTAACCTCAGTGATGTTGTGCCAGACCTGTATTATTTGACAGTAACAACTACTGCTGTGGACTTCACTAGCAGGACCTGAGGAAGCTGTTACTTTTGGCAGCATCTACTCTGTCGTGGACATACCGGGCTCTGTAATGCAGCCATGCCTGGTGTCAGCTACATGGGTGGGGAAAAAAAAAAAAAAGAAAAAAAGAAGTGCTTGGGTGAGCTCTTGAAATTATCTGAGAAGTTTGATATGGAAAAACAGTAAGAACGGGACTCTGTGTTAAGTGGGTTTTTCTTAGTCTTCATTGGATGAGTGGGGCTCCAGCTCTGTAATTTAGACTGGGACAAGTAGAACAAGGACAAATGCCGCTGAGGATGAGATCAACTTCTAATTTCAGTTTTCTGAGGAGTAGTGTTCCCCTAACAGAAGAATGCATGTATGGCGGTATGAGCCAGAGGTCTGTTGGGGGGCATTTCTTTCCAAGTTTTTTCATAATGGAAAAATCAGGCAGAGTTTGACCTTGACTTATTCCTTATTTTCTAATTTTCCATAAATGCAAGACAAATTCAGGCAAAAGTCTAGTTACTTGTAAATTAAAACTACTGTAAGTAAATTGTTTAACATTTCTCATGGTTTCTTGAGTGAAGGAGAATACCATTCCTGCTCAGTGCTCCTAATGGGGATGCTGTGTGATGTTAATTAGGGGGAAGTCACAGGCTGAAATCTTAAAGAAGTGGTCCTGCTGAGGGAATTTTGTAGCTGGCTGTGTACAGGGAAGCGTATTGTTACTGTTGTGACAGTAGCAGAATGAAGTGCAAAGAAAAACAACAGTATAAAAGAAAAAGACCAAGAGAAATAGGAAAATGTAGGACTTAAATATGGAATGTGTGACTGCGGAGACAAGCACCAACTTGGTTGAAACAAAAAGTGGAAGGAAAAATAAAAAAAACACCTGACCAAACAAAAAAAACAGCAAAGTTGCATAAGAAAAATCATAGTTAATGCCTGGGGGAGGTTTAGCTGAAACTTCAATTAAAGCTTATAACATAATTCTGCTTTTACAGCAGATATGGGTTTGTGTCTTCTACCATTCATCAAAGTTACATAGGTTTGAATGAAAGTAGGTAAAGGTGACACATTTATTGGTACTGTTCAGCTCTCTATTGAATTCCTAGAATAAAATTTAAAAGCAGTCTGTGCTAAATGTTCTTTCAACTTCTCCTGAGTCAGATGTACCAACATACAGCATGCAGTTTACAGGACGTTTCCCTCTGAATTTAACTTACTCAGACTGAGATAATCTAATTTACCTTTGAAGAGCCTGAGGAAAAAAAAAAAGGGAAAAAAAAAAGATAAAAAAGCCCAACTGAATCTGGTACGTATACCTGAGTGTGTTAAACATTTTATGTGATTATCTGATCACATATATGTGAGTGGTGCAGGCCACCATATTACTGTTGTGGGCTAAATGTGCCTTCAACTGTGATATCTGAGATACTAGAGTCTGAAAGTCATTTACGTGCTATTTTCTCACTTAAAATAAATTCTGTAGAATTCTGATTAGCAAATGATTTCTCGTTTAGTGTAGTTGTGGTTTATTCTTTTTTATGTAACTCTCATTATCAACTGTTCAGAGATGTTTCAGTATCACACTTGAAGTATGATTAAATCCACTGCAGCCGGCAGAAAAGTTCACTGACCTTAACTTTTGTCTCAGATATTTCATTCCCTTTATTTCCTGTAGTATCATATGGTTGCCTAGGCTAAATACTGAACTGTATGGTAGATTCTAATTCTGGGAACAGCTTGATTTACAGTTCTATAGTTATCTTTTTTTACTTCTGAGTAATAATATTGCTCATACAGCATGAAAAAGATTTTACTTTTGGGGTATGTATGTAGACATACATACTTGGCTTTATTGGCACTTTGCTTCTGAGGTTAATTTGCTTACTGTGTTCTCAGGCAATAAAATTCTTTCTTCCCCATCCTAATTGTGAAAACTTTTTTGCATTTGGTTTTCATTTTCCACCCCTGGAAATATTGCTGTTTACTATAGTAATAAAACTCTGTTCCAGTGTTTTAGCATATGGTAATGTTTCATTTCCCATAGGTCTAGATGAAGTTTCAAAGCATCATCCAAGCCAGGCATGTTTTGTAGGTATTTTGGTACTTTTCATTTAAATGCCATGGATTGGGCCACTTTCAGTTTATTTCTCTTTATATTAGTTATTGCATTTACATCTTATAATTCATAGCTATTTGTACCAATTTTTGTTTCACATTTTAAAAGTGTTCAGGTGATAGACTGTCTCTACATCTTTGATTTGGCTGTTGCCCAGATAATAATTTTCCATCTACTCCACTGTCAAAGGCTGTGGTCTTTTTTTCACATATAGATAGAGGCGTGCAAAAATAGCACATTAGTGCTCTGGAAGCAGTCCGCTCTCTTGCATTATAAGTTTACAAAAAATATGGGATTTGCTTAATGAATTTCTTTAATTTTTAAAGAGCAGTTCATCATGCATACTGAGTAAGTTTATTTTGTGACTTGGAGGAGAAAACCTAGTGCATTTGAGTGCCACTACAGAGCATGGAGGAGAGATGCTTAACTCTTGGCCACAGGAGTCTTCAACGTTTCAGGCCTCTTCCAACTTATCTCACTGTGTGGTAGGAGGAAGTCTAGAGGAGGCCACCGAGATGATTAGAGGGATGGAGCACCTCTCCTATGAGGAAAGGCTAAGAGAATTGGGATTGTTCAGCTGGGAAAAGAGAAGGCTTCAGGATGACCTAATTGCAGCTTTCCAGTACCTA